AGGAAGGAAGGAAGGAAGGAAGGAAGGAAGGAAGGAAGGAAGGAAGGAAGGAAGGAAGGAAGGAAGGAAAACCCTGCATATTCTTGATTCTCTGGACACATTCTTCTCCAGAGGCCTTAAATCCAACTGCTCTTCTTCCCAATGAAGAGAATGTGAGAGAAGCAGCAGTCTGGGTATTTCTAGGCAACATCGCTAAGCATTCTATCAGGAACATAACCTGAGAAACTTGTTAGGGGTCTTGATTATGCCATGAAGCTAAGTTCTATTAAATAATGATAATATGAAACCTGAAGTGATTCTGGGGTGGGGAGTCATTATTTTTTAATGTCTCTAATACAGTGGTTATCAACTTTCCTAATACTGCAATCCTTTAATACAGTTCCTCGTGTTGCAGTGACCCCCAACGATAAAACTATTTTTGTTGCTACTTTATAACTATAATTTTGCTACTGTTATGAATCATAATGTAATCATTTGTGTTTTCCAATGTTTTTAGGTGACCCCATGAAAGGATTGTTAAACCCCCAAAGGGGTCACAACCCACAGGTTGAGAACCACTGTTCTAATCCTATTAAAGTTTAGCTTACCTGCTTTTATTTCCATATATATTTACAACCATCAGCAAGAGAATATTTATGGTGTCAACAGAAATTTTGAAGTGTCATCTTTATTTTAATTTTCATGAGGTTGCTCATAATTTTCCTTGTTGCTTTGTAAAATTGTTCCCCACAATTTCAACTAACACGGCCCTTTCTACACTAGTAGACTACTGTGCAAAGCAAAGACTGTTGGGGATACTGTGATACAGATTCCCTTCTCTCATGTCCATGATCACTTGACACATACATGGCAGTGATATAAGGGATCCAAATTCCAAGGTGTAAGGCACATTATGTCGTTAAAATGTCATGGGTTATCTGAGCCACTGAGAAGCTGTTTCCAGAAGCATGGTTGCTCCCCGTCTATTTGAGGAGACCCTGTGCTGTGGACAGATAGGCTTTCTGATAAAGCAGAAACCATCTTTTCTTTCCAAACTTAGAGGCCCCAAGACAAAAAGGAACTATGCCAGTCATGGGAACCACTTGAGAAGATGGAACTGTGCTGGTCATGGGACCATTTGATCCATTTTCATGGCAGCCACTGCCTTCCCATCACTGTGTAATATCTGAATCTCCTGTATCTTTTCTGTATCTTTCCTCTACTTCATGTGAGCACATTTCTAGGGAGTGAGCCATGTCAGAGGAAATGCTGTAGGACTTGGAAAACCTTCTGAGCATGGAAAATATAAACGAGCCATCAATATTATCTTCCAATTCCAACTATCACTGTTAGTGACGTCACTGTTAGTGATGTCTTTGGTGGATCCCCGCACCCACAGCACTTGCACAGCTAAGGCAGAACAAAATCTAGAGGGTCGTGCCAGTGAGACTTTGTTTCTCCAAAACAGAGCAGGAAATGAAGAGGGAGGAGGAGCTGGAGGGAGAGGAGGAGGGAGAGAGAAAGGGAGGAGGGAAGAGGGAAGAAGGAAGGAGGGAGGGAAGAAAGGGAGGAAGAGAGGGAGGAAGGAAGGAAAGGGGGAAAGGAAGGAAAATCTTAAATATGACAACCAGGTAGTGTCTTCATCAAACCTTGTATATCAACACTTTAACTCATGGAATAGCCTGGAGCTTTAGGATTCTAGAAATTTCTATCCTCTTCATAGCCCCACTACTGCAAATGCTGATGTGAGTGTGTGCCCGTGTAAGTTCATGTGTGTTGGTGTGAGTGTAAATGTATCTTAGGAAACCCCAGACTGCTTTGCCCAGAGATGCCCCATACAATTCGAATTAGCTGGAGAGGGGGATCAGAAAAAATATTCTCTTTATCTTCCTTTTACTGCTAAACCTAGAGGGCTGAAATGCCATGGCATGACACTTGTGGCCTTCACCTCCTCAACCAGATCCGTGACCCCATGGGATTGGGACCCTTGAAAGGGCACATACCCTTTCCCTTGTCCCATAGGTCTTTCACACCCACCCACCTCCCCATCCACTCTATGGTTACACATGCACATCCAACTTCTTGCTGTCTTCACCATGGCTACCAAAGCCTCCGCCCTTTACTTTCCTAAATCAAAAACTGGCAAAGAACCCTAGGAAGTGAATGTCTTCCCAATGGGCCCAAGTTTTGCAACATATTCTTTGGAAAATAAATCCTAACAGAATACCCGGAAGTCATGGAATATACTCATTAAACATAACTGGCAGTTAAGCCCTGAAAATACCTTAGGATTCCCAACAAAGAGAGTTTTTTGTTTGTTTGTTTTGTGTTTGGAGACGGGGCCAGGCAGGAGACCTAGCTTCTACTTGAGAGTAACATTTCGTTTTCATTTGGAAACCACCAGCTCTGTACTGTGCTAAGAATGTTTCAAGGTCCAAAAGCCTTGGGGAGGGGGGTGCGGGGGAGGGTGATGGTGTCATGGTACATTTGTACTTTGGCCCTAGAAAAAAAAGTGCCCTGTGTTTCCATTCTCAGGAAAATGCACACTCAGGTCTTGCCTTGTGCAGCCCACATGGCTTCCTTTGTGGTAACAGCCCATATTTCACCATTTTGCAAGGACACAAGTCAGAATGAAACAGGATCCACCCTGATGTCCTTATCTTCACTTGGATACAGCTGCAAAGACTGTTTTCAAGTGAAGCTCCATTCACGGGTCCTGGGGACTAGGGCTTCAGTGGATCGTCTTCTGGAGAACATAAGTCAGCCTACAATGGTCCTCATACAAAATGTAAATGTTGGACATTTGCTCAGGTCGACAGGAAAGGAGAAGACTCAGTTAGTCCCCAAACTAGTGGTCAGTCTTTGGGAAGACCTTAAGTGTTATTATGGCTCCCTACTCCCACATTAGAGTGAATACCCAGAGCTAGGCACTAGATAGAATCATGGCTAATGTCCTGCTCACAATGCTCCTATTAGATCCAGTAGCATGTGGTAGACAAACCCTGGACCCTAAGTACAGAATTGTCCTTAGCATACTCAGGAGGTGGTCAGCTTCAGCATCAATTCCATGGGCCATGGTGTAAAATCTACCATAGTGAAAGACACCAAATAGAAACCTTTGGGAATACCCCAATATGTCAAGATAGTACATAAACAGATCAGTCAGTAGAGCATTAGACTCTTAATAACAGGGTTGTGGGTTCGAGCCCCACATTGGGTACCAAAATGTAGGGTTTTGTTTTTGTTTTTGTTTTTTCACTCTTTGATCTTTGGGGTCCTGCCACTCAGCTCCCAAATAAATACACACATGGAAACTTGTTCTTACTTAGGAATGCCTGGCCTTAGCTTGGCTTGTTTCTAGACAGCTTTTCTTAACTTAAATTATCCCATCTACCTTTTGCCTCTGGGCTCTTTATCTTTCTATATACCTTTCTTTTCTTCTTCTTTTTTTTTTTTTCAAGACAGGGTTTCTCTGTGTAGCTTTGGAGCCTGTCCTGGAACTCACTCTGTATCCCAGGCTGGCCTCGAACTCACAGAGATCCACCTGGCTCTGCCTCCCACGTGCTGGGATTAAAGGCATGCGCCACCACTGCCCGGCTCTTTTCTCCTTATTCTGTGGCTTGCTGTATAACTGAGTGGCTGGCCCCTGGAATCCTCCTCTCCTTCTCCTTTTACTCTCCTTCTATTTACTCTCTCCTGCCTATCTATATTGGCCATTCAGCTCTTTATTAGACCAATCAGGTGTTTTAGGCAGGCAAAGTAACACAGCTTCACAGAGTTAAACAAATGCAACCTAAAAAATGCAACACATCTTTGCATCATCAAACAAATATTCCCCAGCATAAACCAATATAACACATCTTAAATTAATATTCCACAACATAGTACATTCTGGAAAAGATGGAGGGTATTTGTTTGACCATGAAAGACTTCACATTCCCTATAAGTTAGGAAGTCTAGTGCCTGGTGTACCTTATTTGTTTTTGGTGGCAGCATATCCCACACTTGGCAACACTGACCTCCTTTATACACTGGATGACACTAACAAGTGTTAACTTTAAGTGGAGCCTTAAAATTCAGACAAAGGCAAACACATATTCCACTAGAGCCATGTGATTTGGTGAACTCCTTGGATCTGGAGGTATTAATAGTGGGATCAGATGAATTATAGGACAGAAATGAGATTTTCAAGATCTAAGCCATACCAGTTATGATCACACATGCCTATAATCCTAGCAGGAGTCTATAGAACTTGAGTCAAGCCTGGTCAATTTAGTAATACACTGTGTCAAAATAAAATTCAAAAGGACTGTGCCGGAAGCACAATGGTTAGAGCACTTACCTAACATATGGGAAGCCCTAAGTTTGATCCCTAGTGCTATCCCTCAAATTTTTTTTCATCCCAAGCAGAAGAATACAGCATAACTAAGTTAAAGTGGCAATTCAGGGCAATTCCGTGCAGTCTGTCTGATAGTCAAAGGTGTCTATTTAACTTACAACAAGTAAAGGAGAGTTGGTCACGGGATCCAGGAGAGGTGAGCTAGCAGCACATATAGAGGGCATCACTTAGCTACAAACACCAGTAGCCCAGTCTGTGTAATCTTCCCCATCGACTGCACCAGGATTCCTCCCCAAGACTGTTTCTGTGGTCACACTGGAGTGCTAACATGCTAACTTTGGGTGACTCACGTTAGACATATAAATTCAGTTCCCTGGGCTAGAAACACACTTACCCAGACCCTTGCCTTCAGTGGGATTGGTGACCCTCCTGTCTGTGCCAGCTTCAGTCTGGAGGACAATCATCATGACCTTTTCAGGAAGTCTTCTGAGAGCTTGTTAGCTTTCACTCTCAGGTACCAAGGGGAGCTGCCAATTCAGATGTGCTTTGCTTGCTTGCTTGTTTGTTTGTTTGTTTGTTTGTTTAAAACAGGTTTTTTAAATGTAGCTCTGGCTGTCTTGGAACTCTTGGCCTCAAACTCATAGAGATTCATCCGCCTCTATCTCCCCAGTACTGAAAATCATAAGCTACCATGCCCAGATGTGCTCTGAATTACGATGTGACATCATATGAGGTGACATTATCCTCTCCTAAAGTTTAAGAAGGGATGGCATTTCCAGCTGAATGGGATCTTTCTGATTGCTCCTCCCAGGGCCTCTTTGAGGATAGGATATGGAAGGCAGGCATGGGGTGAATGTGGAAAAACCTAGGAATAAGATTGCATAATTCACTCTGGATTCCCAAGTCATCAGCAGGAAGGTTCCCATGAAAGAACTACATTAAAGACTATTGACCTTAAAGAACTGTCAATTCAACCATCAAATTGAAGCTTCCTGGACCAGGGCAGAAAGACATGGTGCTTAGCCGTGAGGACAAATCTTCACAGCAAAAGTACATTAGACACATATTTAAATACATCTTGACTACCCAGAACTCTAAATCATTAGATTTGAACATCTTGTTGTACAGCAATTTTCTCTAAATTTAAATATTCTATCCAGGAGGGAAAATCCTTGCAGGGGACAGGAGGTAGGGGCACAAGTTTTGAGAAGTTCCTGAAATTAACAAGATACACAGGACCCTTCCCAACATTATGGGAGCAATAAATAACTGCTAGGGGAAGAGGCTCTTCAATCAGGAGAATTACCTGGAGATGTTCTGGCCTGTCAACCTGTCTGCACATCGTAGAAATCGCTGTAGGGATATAACTTTTGAGTCTGCACATCGGCTGGAGTTGGCTTTTTGATGATGCAGCTGCTTTTGAGCCGTCCCTACACCACTCACCTATGGGACTTTAAGTAACCCTAATAAATTAGTTGATTCACCAAGTTGAGCTTTGCTGTAATCGTTACTTTGGTCCGTTGTTGGTTCTGTCTTGGGGTAAATAGATATTTGCTTGAGTCTTCCCAGCAAATGTGTTACCCAGCACTCGTCCACTCATCACTCCATCAGTCCATCAGTCATTGTGCATTCCACACAGGTTGTCAATTTTTCCATACACGTTAAAAATAAAATCCTTTTTGTTAGACAGAAGATCCACAAAAATAGCCTCCCTGACTTAATCGATGGCATGAGTAAGAATTGTGCTAGACACAACAGACACAAAAAAGAATAGGCCATAAAGTTCACCGAATGTAACTCGGTGTCTAAACTCACAGAGATGACCACAGAGATGCAGGAGATGGTGGTGAGAACACATTCAATGGTTCTGTGCTGCCTTTCCCAAGTGAGGTCACGGTAAAGGCAACCAGAAGAACCATAACTCTTTTGAGGTGCTTCTTTATTGAGCTTTCTCAGCCAAGCTGCTTCTTCTCTTCAGCTTCTCTTTGGTCGGTTCTTCATTAACCAGAGTTCCATAGGATACCTGTGGAATGACATCAGAGACTCCTGGGTCTGCCTGTTCCAACAGCCCACTCTGCACCCCCCCCCCAAATTATAATTGAGTTATCAATCAGAAAGCCCCCTTCCTTTCTGCTTGCTCTCATTCTAGAATCTGGCTTCACTTAAAGGGTCTTTATCAAAGAATTCTCCGATCCACACCCTATAGATCATAGTTAAAGAACTACAAAAGAAGAAATCATGAAGCATCCAGGGAAAGATCAAGGCATGGGTCGCCCTGGCTTGTATTTGCAATCCTGATCAGAATAAGCAAGGAGTCTTCACTGGCATGGATTTCCTAGTTCATTTCTCATTCTGTGTCGTACAAGCCCCGAAGATGCTCACCATCGGGCAGAATCGGGGGTGGGGAGGCTAAGCTGCAGGGCTGGTGAGTGGCACAGAGAGCCCATCTTCCCTTCAAGAAGTGCTGATCATTAAGCTGGGTATGGTGGCGCATGCCTTTAATCCCAGCACTTGGGAGGCTGAGGCAGGTGGATGTCTGTGAGTTCAAGGCCAGCGTGTTCTACAAGCTCCAGGCCAGCCAAGAACACATAGTGAGTGTTAATATTCTGACCCGCCCCTTGGGGCCGCCCTGCATCCTGACATGGAAGCTTCTTTTTAAGAAAAAACTCCACCACCACCACCCCTTTCTCTCTCTCTCTCTCTCTCTCTCTCTCTCTCTCTCTCTCTGGTTTTCTCAAGGCAGGGTTTATCTGTGTAGTTTGGTGCCTGTCCTAGATCTCACTCTGTAGACCAGGTTGGCCTCAAACTCAGAGATTCGCCCGGCTCTGCCTCCCAAGTGCTGGGACTAAAGGCGTGCGCCACCACCGCCCGGCCTGAAACTCAATTTCAGAAAAAAAAAAAAAGGTGATAAGGTTGGTGGATAAAGGTGGGAGCAACAGGTTTGGGTCCAGTCTGGAAGCGGAATTGGTGTAGATGTCCTGTAGCTGATAGTCCTTCGTACACCAAAGTCTGTGCAAAGAAACTCACTTATAGAGCTCAGCAGCTTTCGTACCCCTGTGAAGTAGTCGTTTTTTTCCATCCTCTTTAGGCTTTCACATTGCTGTGGTTTAGATCTATGTCACCCGAAATGCTGATGCATTGAAGGCTTGGTCCCTGACTCCTGGTAGTATTTAAGAGGTGGAGCCTGGTGAGAGGAGGTGAAGTCATCTGGTGGGGCCAGGTGTCTTTGAAGGGGCCATCAGGATCTTGTCCTCTTTCTGTCTCCTTTTGCTTCCTGGTCACTAGGGGCCATCAGGATCTTGTCCTCTTTCTGTCTCCTTTTGCTTCCTGGTCACTTCCTGAGCAGCTTGGTCGGCTACATGTCCCTGCTCCATTGTACTGCTTTGCTGTAGGCTCAAGGACAGCAGGGACCAAGTGATCATCAACTGAAATCACAAACCAAAACAAACATTTGCTCCTTAAACATTCACGAGCTCGGGTGTTTTGTGATCAGTAATAGAAAGCTGATGGATACCATGGTGATAAGTGGCATGTGCTTGTGAAGAGGCTCTAAGGATCCAGCCATGGATCTAAGCAGCAATGTGTGGCACCCAGTCTGGGGGTGAGCATTGTACAGGACAGCCTGTACAATGATTAGAAAGGAAACGAACATGCTAGGCTGAGACCCACACAGAGACAAGATGCACTCAGGGAAAAGGAAGTAGGAGGAGAGCTGGCAGCTTTGAGGGAGAAGCCAAGTTACTGGAAGATGTTCTGTGATTTAGGAAAGAAAAGACATAAGATCTAATCCAAAAAAAATTTTAAATCAAAAAAAGAAGAAAAAGAGAAATCCATTGGTGAGAAAAAGACCAAAATGTACAGAGGGAGGATCAAGGGGGTCATCGTTCCAGAGGAGATGGTCAAGGAGGGTAGAAATCTAGTCATGGGAAGATGTTTATTTTCTAAGAAAAGAGAGAGAGGGAGGCAGACTGGGAAATGTGGAGACTGTGGAGGGCGGGGGCAGGAAATGCAGGAGGCTCACACCAGATGGCCTCAATCTTCTAAGTGAGAAAGTTAGGCTGGGCGATGATGGGAGACAGGGCTGGAGAAGTCCCTAATGGCCACCGGGGTCTGGGCTGGGTCCTGGGCCAACCACAGCTGTGCTTCTCAAGCCTCCCTGTGAGGAGAATGGCGAACAGTGTGGCAGTGCAGACTCCTCCCGGGAGACATGCCTTCTGCAGAACTGGGGTGGACCGAAATCTGTGTCATCAGGATGGATTCAGAGCACACTTGTCGTCAGGCTCTTCAGAGAACTCATGGGTGTGAGAACTGTTGAGCTCAAGGAGATCCATAAATGGCTGGAAAACATGACCTTGAGGGAATCACTCTGAATTCTTTCCTCCGCCAAACTCCTCTACCAGGAAGCTGTTAGGAGAGAAAAACAGAAGTGGGGTATATCTGTGTGTCTGTGTGTCCATCCAGGATGAATGAGTGTGGCCAGGTCTGCCCAGGAAGGTGAGGTATATCCCGGAGGGAGGGGTCTAGCTAAGGCAGCAGAGCCCAGCAAAAACTGAGTCAAAAGAAAGAGAACTTCCTCTTCAGAAGGGCAAGGTCTGGAAAGGGATTGACCTAGATGGGAGGCAGGGTTCTAGTAAATTAGTGAAGTCTAGCCAGGAAGATGGAACTGAACCAAAATGGTGGGTGGAATCGGAACTCCATTTCCGGGAAGATAGGATCTCCGAAAGAGGATAATCTCTCCAGAGTGGTATGGTTGGAGGTCTGGAATGTTGCATTCAATGTGCTTGACCATGGCCCACCTTTAGCAGCGAGCAAAGTGAAGGCATGAGCGGTCTGGCAGGCTATGAGGAAAGTCAAAACAGAGAAGCCAAGGAAGATAAGAGAAACAAGGGAGAGGTGGAATCTCAGAGTTGGGGGTGGGATGTGCAGGTGGTCCCCATCTAGCTCGGAGGGGCATATTCCCAGGAACACACTGCTTAGACCAATTGCACCTTCTGGGGCAGGTTTAGGGAGGAAATTAAATTTATATGGCAATAAGCACATTCTACTGATTTTCAAGAAATGGACAAAAACAGCAAACAAACAAATGAACAGCCTTGCAAATGTTTTCGGAGGCTGTTTCCCAAGATTCTTGTCCTTCTATGGTAAAGGCAACTTGAGAAAACCAGCTGAAGAAGCCTGTGGCCTACCTGGCTTTATTCAGCTCGCTTCCTTCCCAGCATCTCCACCTTGTGGCCTCAAGAGGGTGCTGCTCCATTTCCTAAACTCCCCAAAGGCAAATGATGTGTTCCAAAGGCCCCACCCTCAGTATTCCAGCAAAAACCTTTAAAGGGGACCTAACACTCACAGGGAGAAACAAGAATACAACAGCTTAGCTCCTTAGTACCTTACTCATGGTCCCCACAGGAGAAATGGTAAGACCAACCCAAAGCTTGCAGAATCCTCCCTCACCACTATTTCCAGAGGCTCCTGTTCGAAATTATGAGCATCCTGACAAGGCTCCCCCCCACCCCCACCCCCACCCCCACCCTGAGACCTCGATATACAAATCCACGCTGGAGAAGCAACGGCCTAGGCAAAGATGCTGTTTCTTTGTCCCCAGCAACGTGGGCACTGACTCCACAGCAGCCACCTCAGGAACAGTCTCTTGGACCTACCACAGCTCAGGCTCAGCATTTAGTCTGTCCCTTCCAGGAGGAAAGCACACCCTTTTAAAATGTTAGTTTTTTCCCCCCAAGGAGTATATTAGTGACTTTTGCTGTCACTTTAGTTACTTTGCTTGTGGCTGTGACAGAGTGTGGGACAGAGGTACCTTACAGGAGGAGACGTTTAATTTGGTTCAACTTCAGAGGACAGTCCAGCTCCACAAGGAAGGCACAGCAACAGGAGCTCCAGCTGGCAGATGCCCACACCTTGGAGGGGACACAGAGATGGACGGGCCTGAGACAGGACAGAGCTACAGCTATCAAGGCCGGCCCCTCCTGGCCCATCCACCAGCTGGGTCTTATTTTTCAAAGGTTCTACAGCTCCCACCAAACAGCTGGGGAGCGAGCGTTCAAACACATGAGCCTGCGGGGGGACATTACAGACAGATCATAACAAACCCCCCAAACTGAGCGCTTCCAAAGAAGAAACATTTATCATCATAGGGCTTCTGTGAGTCAGGAATCTAGGTGTGGTGTAGCTGGAGAACTCTGACAGGGGCTACACTCTGTGTAGGCTGGGGCTGTAGTCATGACAGGGCTGGACCGGAGGGCAGCTCATGTGAGTTCCAGCTCACTCACCCAGGAGTCAGCAGGCTCCAGGACATCCCTACCTCACTTCCCTATCACAGAGCTGTTCATAACTGTTAGCCATTGTCCCTTGGAGCTGGGGAAGGGGCCCCAAAGCCAAGCAAGAGGCACAAGACATAAAATCCTGCAAGTAACTTCCCATCGGTTCTGACATATGTTGCTGGTTAGATGTGAGTCATTAGGTGCTGCCCAGGCTTAAAGGGAGGAGATTACACAAAATCCTAAATACCAAGAATTGGGGCTCACAGGGCCATCTTCAGGTCCTCTTTCTTCAGGGAGTGATCTCACAGCTAGGGCCATGCCTCAGCAGGGCAACTTCGTGAGCACACAACAACATAACCTCCACTGTCACAGGCTGGAGACGTCCTACAACCTGTAACAGGACGTTGATTCTCCTTTAACAGCGGCTTTCCAAGTGACTCCACATTAGATTACCTAGGGAACTAAAAAGAACCAGTGTCTAGGTCCCACCCAAGACCCTTGAATCCGAGTCTGCAGGTGTGGATCGTTTTCTTGATTTTGCTGTTACTTTTTAAATTTCCTGCCTGATTCTTTTGCACAGTTGGGGTTGAGATGGACATTTTAAATGTTAGTTAACTACTGGGGCTGTGGTGACAATCAGCGAGGCAGAAGACGTGGTGCTTGGCCACTTAGACTTCTGTGAGTGACCAGTTATGAAAAGGAAAATCCTGGGACATTTGGGGGATAAGCAGATAAGACAGACAGGAGAAGTATACATTGCTACAATTGCCACCAAAACAAGGCCACCAGGGAGTTGTGATGCCAGGTGACACTCGCAAAAATCAGAAGAGAAATAAAGAAGGGGTAAGAAGTGAGGGGGAAGAAAACTGTAAGCTGGGCATGTTGGATCAAGCTTATATCGCAGCACTTGGGAGGCTGAGGCAGGAGGATTGTGGAGTTCAAAGCAGCCTAGGCTCCAGAGTGAGCTCCAGATCAGTGAGACCCCTGTGTCAAAACAAGCAAACAACAACAACAAACTAGGAAGTTATCTGAAGTCAATCTGCAAAGGCCACACACTATGATTCCAACCACATGATGTTCTGGGAAAGGCAAGACCATGGAGACAGGAACGATCTGTGATTGCCAGAGGCTTAGGGAGAGGGAGGGAGGGAGGGAGGGAGGGAGAGACAGGAATTTAATGGTGGTGGATACATATCTTTTTTTTTTCCTTTTAGTCTTTTTCTGGTGTGTGTGTGTGTGTGTGTGTGTGTGTGTTGTATGTGCATGCCTGTGTGCTGTATATGCATGTCTGTGTTTTGCTGCATGCTACTCTACTCATGTGCAGAGACCGGGGATGATGTTGAAGAGCCAACTATTTTTCTTTGTCTTATTTGTTTGAGTCAGGTCCTCTCCCTGCACCTGGAGTTAGGCTGATGGCCAGCAGGCTCCAATAATCCTCCTGTATTCCCTTCCTCACCACCCTGGGGCTCTAGGCATGCATGTGGCCGCACCCAGATTTTTATGTATGTTCTGGGGATTTGAACTCAGAGCCTCATGCTTATACTGCACGCACTCTTATCCACTAAGCCGTGGTGGATATACACAGCTTAATCCATGCTTTGCAAACCCATAGAATCAATACCACCAGGATGGAGCCCTGCTGTAAACTATGGCCTTTGTATGATCACAATCTGCCAATGTATTTATTAGTTGTAACAAATTGACCACTCTGTTAGGATGGCAGTAATGGGACGGGAGGGAGGGGGGATGAGGGTTATGTGGGAAGTCTCTGTGCATTCCCTTTTCAATTGTGCAAGAGCTTAAAACTGCTCTAAAGTAAGTAAAGAATTTAACGAAAGGAAGGAGAATGTTGAAAAGGAAATCTATTGACTTTTCTTTATCTGTACCTGGTGGCTTCAAAGAAATACAAGTAAGAAACAAAGTGTCTCCTGATCCATAGTGTATAGACACTGACGTTCAGAACTGGAGCTGTTTTTTACCCCAACACCAAACGCCTTCATTTCATAGAAGAGGAAAGGGAGGATTCAAACGTGGAGTGGGGGAGAGTCAGTGCTAGGATTAGAACTTAGCTCCTCAAATGTGAGCCCAGGACTTCAATCACAGGCCACACATGCACAGCATCTCTTTTTCCTAAAGTGAAGAAATGCCTTGAATAAAGAATTAGGTGCACGGATATTTAAATGTGATTGAGTACTACCAGTAGGTCAGTGGTTAATTCTCTCTGAAGTCAGCAGGTCAGTGGGTTGATCACATTCACCAGAGTTTAACAAACTCTTGGCTCCAGCCACACCTACTTGAAGAAAGGAGGGGCTTGAGATGGACCACTAGCCGCCCCTGACTGAAGTAGCTCAGCCCACAACAATAAAGGGCTCCATTCTTCAGGCAAGGCCAACCTTGACCTCCCCTCCCTACCCCTTGCCTGCCCAATCTGTATCTTGGCCACAGTTCTTACTCCCAGGAACTGGGTCTCTCCCATCCTGTTGCCATGGCCACGAGCCTCACCCAAAGCATACCAACGCTGCAGTGTGCACAGATCTTTGGCCAGAGGCCAGGCAGATGCAGAGCAGTGGGGGGTGGGGTGAGGGAGTGCCCTCTTCTAAAAGCTGTTGGTCCAAGACAGGCCAGGGGCCTCTCTCTCTGCTGTCCGCTTGCGTCTTTCAGGGCTGTCCACTTGGCTGCCCAGCTGTGAATGAGTAGTGGTTGTTAATTTCTCTCCCCTGCACCAACTTCTCAGAGCCTCTAGCCCAAAACTTAAACAAAGAGCTAAGCAAGGCTGTTCCCAGGGCTCCGGATACTGGCTGTTTACCAAACACTGAAAACTACCAGTTGCCACCAGTTCCAAACCTCTAAGCTCTTAAGAGAGCATGAAGAATGTTGTCCCTGGAGTTCCAGGCCTGTTCCCCGATGCTCTGGCATGTTCTTTTCCACAGTCCCCATCCTGTGATCTAAAATGGCTCTCCCAGAGAAAAAGAAATCAAAGACAGAGGGAGCACAGATCCCATCACCAGAGGACAGAGATTCAATCTCTTCTAAAACAAACAAAGAAAACGCTTCCCGGGTGTGTAGCACACCGTGAAAGCGTGGTTCATCCCTGGATCATTTGTTTTGGCCCGATGCTTGAGCTTGCTCCAACTGCAGAGAAGCAGAGAATACCAGGAGTGGTCCATGAAAAGCAATACTCTCAACTAACATCTATCCCTTTACTCCAGGATGCTCCCTGGAGTCCTCCACCATGAGAACACATGTAGGAGCACTTTGGAGTAGGCAGTGCGGGTGCAATACCCATCAAAGTGCATGGTGGCTTTTCCCTCTGTATGTCAAGTAAGAAAAACCTTCAGGATCCTGCCCCAGGGTGCATGCCCACTGTGTCCTAGAATTCAGATGCGAGAAGACCCTGATCTCCCTCCCAGAGAATCTTTGCTGGTCTTTGCTTCATTTTTGCTAAGGTGCTGTAAAAGTAAAGAAAAAAAAAATTAAGTACTATTTAGATTTAGATGCTTGGGAAAGAAAGGTGTTTTGCTCTTCTTCAAACATGATATAAAAATGAATAAATAAAAGTAATATAGAGGTTGGGCATGGTGATGCACACCGCTCTCAGCACCAGGGAGCCAGAGACCACAGAATGCTAAAAGTTCAAAGCCAGCATGGTCTCCAAAGCAAGCACCAGGGAACCTGTACTACACAGCAAGAACATCTCTCTAAAAATAAATGAAAATTAAAGATAAAATATAGAGAATTACCCCTTTTAAAGCAGATGTAAATATAACCACAAGGAAAGTGCCAAATGATGATGTGCCTTTAATATATCACTTTTGTGCCTTAAAAAAAATCGTGTCTGTTGAAACAATTTCTTCACTTTACTATTTCCATTCAAATGTTTTCAAAACAAGTTTGGGTTTAGTTTTGACATTGAAGGATGTTACTATGTTTATCTCTAAAGCTGACTGAAATTGAAAAAGTCTTGAGAATAAAACTTTAATATTCAGCTTACACAAACAAGCCAAAGTCACCAAACAACTTCACTACCACCAACCTTTAGGGATGTAACTAAGAGCAAGAGATACAGGTGCAGGTCCTAAGACTGAAACACAAATATTCAAAAGGACAGCAGGTACCATATTTCCTGATATGCAATCTGGCAACTGGAACACACCCTAAATGACGTGTCTGGGGTCCTGGCAAGGGTTGACACTAATCTCATGTTTAACCTAGCAGTCTCATCTCGTGGATCTGTGCTTTTCAGCATCTACATCAGCCCAGTTTGTTCAAAACGACTCCTTGTGTTTAGAAGGAAGACTTAGATAACTAGGAGCTGAGCGGTTCTTATGAAAATCCCCAGCACATGAGTAAAAAAGAAAGGCCTGAAATTGCTTCAAAACCGCTGTTACACTCGAGAGATGCAGGGTCCTTCAAAAGATCAAGGCAATAGAAAATGGCTTAGCCTGATGAAGGCTGGCATCCTAATGTCTGCGACTGGTTTCTCTCTGTGGCACATTTGTTATCTCTCCATCACTGGCATTCACAGGCATAGCACTCTGCCTCGCCCATGTCCCCCGAGGGACAGCTGCTCCAGGATCCACCCAGCAGCTGAGCGACAAGATGAATAGTATTTTCCACTTCAAGCAAAAGACAGGGCTAACACTGCAAGCCATGAACCACAATAACCCGCACAGGAAGAGATGGTCACTATACTTAACAAAGGCAATGGATGTCCCCAGGAGAACAGACACAGAGGGGGCCCAGCCATTCTCCAAACAGAGAATCTCAAGTTCTGTTTTTGTTTTAACTGAGTTTCAACTCCTTGCATAGTTTGTGTGCAGCTGTTGGTTTTCTGGGCCTTCAAGAAAAATGAAACTCCTATTACGGTGCCTCACGTAGCAGATGAGGAGTTAACGTTTGTCCGCATGGAGGGGGTCCTGCTTCTTGGAGCTACAAGTGCCTGTCAGTCACTTCTCTTTGAAAGTTGGTAGAACTTCTTCAGGCTCCTGAGGAAGAAAACAAACAAATAAACAAAACTCCATTCCATTTGAAACTCTCCAAATTGGGCTGAAGAGGTGGTCCAGGGGTTCAGAGCACTGGCTGTGCTTCCAGAAGACCTGGGTTCAATTCCCAGCACCCACATGGCAGCTCACACCTGTCTGTAACTCCAGTTCCAGGGCTTCTGACACCCTCACAGACATACACGCATCCAAAACACCAATGCACATGCATAAAATAAAAATAAATTATTTTTAAAAGTTTTTTTTCCCACTTTCAAAAAAAAAAAGCATATGAAACTCTTCAAACTGAAAAATCTGCCCTGAGCGAGTGCAGATATTTTCTGTGGACATGGTACAGTAGTCACTCCATAGGTGTTGATTTTGTCCCTTTCCTTTGCCAGCTAAGCAGCCTCCATAGCGTAGTGTTGTTTTCTGAGTCTCGGTGGAGCCCCAAATACAAGGGCCAAGCCATACCTGCAAAGCAGTGAGGGGACAGTACGTAGAGCCGGCTTCCAGCCCCAGCCTGTCACTAGTAAGGTGTGCCCAGCACACAGGGTGGTCACTGTCTCTCCCCCCAGTCTGAACTGTTTCCACACCCTTCAGATGGAAGCTCTGGTCACAACTGCAGCTGTCAATCATTTTCTGTCCTCAAACTCGGCACACACAAGAGCTCTGATGTGGAATCCCAGTTAAAAAACAAGAACTGTGCAAAGCCTAGAACCTGGTCTGCTCAGACTCCCAGCTCACCTATGCTTAGGGGCTGAATTGAAAAGAACCCCCTCCTTGAGGAAGCTTCTAGAGTTCTTTGGACAACAGTTCGAGAGCTTTGGGCTGAATTCTCTCTACTGCCTTTTCCAGGCCTGCCGTTCGGTCCTTCTAAGCATTTGTGGAATAACTGGGGCACATTTTTGAGCTGGATCAAATTAGCTCAAGGCTGATGTGGACCATACATGAGAAACCCAGGGAGGTTCTCCTTTGTACTCAGCCCATCACACTGCCTGGCCAAAAGTCACTTGGCAGGAAGCCTTTCTGACTGGTTTCAGCCAGAGTTTCAGTGGCTGTGACTTGACAGTGTTGGGGCTTTGTGGGTCAGGGAGGAGAGGGAAGTAAATGAGGGAAAATAAAAGTGTAATCTTATCCTCCAGAGAGTGTCCTGTGAATATGAACCAATTAAAAGGCCCCACAGCCAGAGGACCTGCAATCATTTAGGATGAACAACAGGGGGTGGTGGGCCAGAGGGCACTGGGCAAGAAGTCAGAACACCTAATCCCAGGTCAGCAGCAACTGCTCGCTGGTGAGCAGATCACACCTGTTTCTACCTCCGTGGAAGGGCTAGGCCGGGTGGCTTCCGCCGGGCACTTGCAGCCCTGCACTTCTGTGGTCCTGAGAATTGCAGCCACTTACAAATGTTGACAGCAGGGTTATCAAACTGGAGTGTCAGCATGTTCCAGACTCGTTTGTTACCTATAAATATATTCCTCAGCTGTGACGCTAGTGACCATCTTAGGCCGCGTGTCAAGTTGTAACCAGACTGCTCCTACCATCTTTGAGTCTGTAAAATCATTCTGTGCAGTGCTCACAGGGGCCTTTGCACTATGCATTGTGTCAAAGCAATCCTGGCGCAGGTGGGCACTTATCAAGTCTAGGGAAGGCAAATTTGCAGGCTGATAGAATTATCTGCACGGATTTGCTTGCTATAGCCTACATACAGCCAAGCCAGTGGCTTCTGAGGTCACATTGTCAGGTCTTTCTTCAGCTTACTTCAACAAAGTGACCCTGAAGTGGACTCCATGAAGAATTAACACAGAGAAGTAGTGAGACTCTGGGATTTATGTTATCCTAGGTGTGATAGGGTTGATTTTTTTTTTCAGGTTATACATGGCTCTTAGAAGGTAAATGATTACCTGAAGAGGCAGTGATGAGAACACAGCCTCTTTGGGTGGGGAAAATCTTGGCAAGGTTGTTCCAAATGGTGTTCTGTGTGAAATCTGATTGTGGACCTTAATTCCAATTCAGCCCTTTTAGTCTTTTGCTGTTGAGTTCCAAAGTGTTTTTAAGTCTACCGACATGGCTCTCAGCACCACCGACCCACCTTTGTACACATCACAGCTGGACATGGCGATAGACACCTATAATCCCGGCACTTGAGGGGAAGGGTGCAAGTTCAAGACCAGCCTGAGTTACACAGGGAGCCCTTATGTCAAACAAAAACAGTATACAAGACATAAAGACAGAGGAAAAGGTGTGCGATTATCACTACGAACCAAAGTTCCCAAAAAGAAGCCATACCGATACTGAGCATTCTGCAAAGGCTGATTGATTAGAACTTCAGTGATCCGGGGCAGGAGAGATGGCTCAGTGATTAAGACCACTAGCTGCTCTTCCAGAGGACTCTGCTTAGATTCCCAACATCCACTTGGCAGCTCATAACCGGCTCTAACTCCAGGTCCAGGGAATCCAGCGCCCTCTTCTGGCCCCACAGGCAATGCACAAATGAGAGGCACACGCACGCAGGCTTGTGGAGTCGCATCCTCCTATGACCCAGCACGTCTTCTTATTTGCTTCAAATCACCTCTCTATTGCTTAATGAGTGACGGTGAAGGAAAAACTGCACGTTTAGGATACAGGCCATTTTTCCTTTCTGATTGCTTTCAGTCCACAATTGGTTGGGTGAGCAAATGCGGAGCCTGTGGGTACAGGGTGCCAACTGAGTCACTGCTCATCCCCAGCCCTCATTTTGAAAACAAATGCCAAAGAACTCCCTTTGCCAGCCCATCCTCACACACCCAAAGCCTCACCCCTGGCTGGCCTTGCTGCCTGCCAGACCTCCTCCTTTCCCAACTACTGGCTTTCCAGCCTAAGCAGAGGAAAGGAAGTGGGTCACACGGCATGCACGTGCTAGGGCTGGACACGCCCACAGCTAGGGGTGGACACGCCTACAGCAAGGGCTGGACACGCCCACAGCTAGGGCTGGACACGCCTACAGCAAGCAGTGGAAGGACAGAACTGGAGCGGTTTCTTCTTCCTATTTCTTATAATTTTGTAATTTTCCAAACTGATTCATGAGTGGGCCTGTTCTATAATTTAATTCTGTTTGAGCCAGAGAAGGACTCGGTGGAAGCCGGGCCAAGATCCAGGCCACCATGCTCACAGCGTGACTCGGTCTGTTTCAACAGCATTACCTTATTCCCCAGAGTCACCCTTCACGATGTGACAAGACCTAATTTTTAAAGACTTTTAAATTAGCCGGGCGGTGGTGGCCCACGCCTTTAATCCCAGTACTCGGGAGGCAGAGCCACGCGGATCTCTGTGAGTTCGAGGCCAGCCTGGGCTACCAAGTGAGTTCCAGGAAAGGCGCAAAGCTACACAGAGAAACCCTGTCTCGAAAAACCAAAAAAAAAAAAAAAAAAAAAGTGTATACTGTTTGTACAAAATAGTGGATTTTATTATGAGAGTATCATAGATTTATAGTGTACATATTTACAACCCCATTAAGCCTCTTATCGCCCATCTTCCACTCTCTGGACCCCCTTCCTCGACTCAAGTAGTTCCTGTTATGTTTGGGAGGCTGTGGAACGCATAAGCAGTGGGGTCTAGCAGGCAGACGCAGATCCGTAGCAGGAGACCTTTGAAGGTTCTATGCGCCTCTGGCTCTGGCCACACTCCCTCTGCTTCCAAGCCCACCTCTTACATCACTGTAGACTGGGTCACTCCATGCCTCCCCTGTTAGGATGGAGCAACGCTCAAGAAACCATGAGTCAAAACAAATCTTCCTCCTCTGAAGTTACTTCTGTTACATTTTGCCCTCTTCCTTTGTGTGTCTTCCTTTTTACATGTAAGTTTGTTTGTTTGTTTTTGAGACAAGGTTTCTCTGTATAGTCTTGGCTGTCCTGGATCTCACTCTGTAGACCAGACTAGCCTCAAACTCACAGAGATCCACCTGCCTCTGCCTCCCTAGTGCTGGGATTAAAGGAGTACACCACCACCACTCAGCTTACATGTATGTTCTTCATTCAAGAGAAAGCATGCAGCATTTGACTTTCTGAGTCTAGTAGATTTTATGTAACACAATAATTTTCAAGCCCACCTGTTTTCCTGCAGATGATACAATTTCATTCTTTATGACTGAATTAAAATCCTGGTTTATATATTCTGCATTTCCTTTATCCATTGATAGGCACTAGGCTAACTCTATAATTTGGCTATTATGAATAGTGCCATGATAAATATGGGTGTGCAAAAGTCTGCTTTGTATGATGATTCAGATTTCTCTAAGTCATATCCAGGAGTGATGTAGCTAAATCATTTGGTAGTTCCATTTTTCATTTTTTGAGATTTATAATAATATCCATAGTTGCTGGATTAATTTACATTCTCACAAACATCAAGATCAATTTTTTTGTTTTGTTGTTTGTTTGTTTGTTTTCTGAGATAAGGTTTCTCTGTGTAGTTTTGGAGCCTGTCCTAGAACTCACTCTGTAGACCAGGCTGGCCTTGAATTCACAGAGATCTGCCTGCCTCTGCCTCTGCCTCTGCCTCCTGAGTGCTAGTATTAAAGGTGTGCACCACCACCAGCTGGCTCCAAGATGAGTTCTTAGCCAGAAACCACACCAGATTACTCTTCTGTTTTTGCTTCCTCATCACATCTGAGAATACTGACAGGCAGGCCACTGCTCTAAGAGTCAGTCCCTGTCAGAAACCCATGTATTCATTTGGTTTCTAGACTAGAGAATGACCTGGAATTATCAGTTGTCTAGATTAGAGCTTTTCAGTCTCAGCACTGTGAACTTTCTGGGTAGGATTCCTCTCACTCACGTCATTTTGTACATCTGGTGTCCCAAAGAAATAAATAAAAGTCCTGAAGCAGGACTTTCCAAATGCATGCTGTCCTTTCCTTACAGAGGCAGAGGGTATTGTGAGGAGAATTGGAAAGGGTATTTAAAAAAAAAATCTAAATTGATGACTGTGAAGTGAATAGCTTTAGGAAAAGGATGGCAGGATGGTGCTGGACCTCAGAAGGTGGAAGAAACACAAGACGGACTGCGCTGCTTCCTGCTCACAAACCTTGAACCATCTGGTGTCTCATTTGACTTGTCTGTCCAGAGGATGAGAATATCACAGGGACTAGGCATGGATTCTAAGAGTTCCTTGTCAAAGAAGCCTAGAAGTATATGTTGAAGACTTTGTAGGATTTCTGCTTTGACTTGCTAATGCAGCAAGCAGCAGAAAAGGATCTAGCTCTACATAAAGAAGTCCAGACTCTCAGATTCGGCCTGTTGATGGAGCAAGGAGCTAAATGGGAGTCAGTTCACATAGTTCACCTTTGACAGGCAAGGGGGGGTATAATCAAGTACCTTAGCTAACCTGCACTTGACAGGTTAAAGGGAGGTATAATCGAGTACCTTAGCTAACCTGCACTTGACAGGTTAAAGGGGGGTATAATCAAGTACCTTAACTAACCTGGCTTGCACTTGACAGGTTAAAGGGGGGTGGGGTGTTGTGGGACAATCTTTCTGTACACTGTGAAGATGTATCTTGCCAAGGCACCTTCTGATTGGCTTAATAAAGAGCTGATGGCCAATAGCTAGGCAGCAGAGAATAGGCAGGACTTCCAGGGAAGGAGAGGAATGGGAGACGACTCTAATGAGACACAGAGGGAGTCGGACATACAGAATGGCAGAAAGGTAAAAAGCCATGCGGCAGAATGTAGATTAATAAAAGCAGGTTAAATTAAGTTATAAGAGCTAGTTGGGAACAAGTTTAAGCTAACACCAGGCTTTCATAAGTAATCATAAGTCTCCATGTCATTTTTTGGAGGTTAGCGGTTCAAAAAAAGCCCGACGAGAAAGCTTACTTTGTTGGAAATTTTGAGGAGAACAAGAACAATTAGATGGTCAATGTCAAGGACAAATATGCAAGGTAGGAAGCCAGGGACATCAAGAGTGTACCTTTTGGGGACACAAAGAATACTGACAGTCCAGTTGGGGACTATTTTTCCAGAAGTTCAACTAGATGAACTAAACAGGAAGCTGGGCTGCATAGCCTGGGGTTATCATAAGAAAGAAAAATGTTCAGACACAAGCTTCACATGATTAATTACCAAATTCTTCACCATAGATATGGCTTGTGCATTCCTAGGGAGGGTGGCAAGAAATAAAAAGTGATAACAATGGGCTATGTCACCTTTGGTGCACCAGGAAGGGAGTAGGCACCCGCAGGTGGAGCTGGTCATCTCTTCTCACACATCGGTGTGGACCTAAGAGGAACGATCCCTTTGACAAAGTCACAGGAGAAGTAGAGTTAATGGACTTTTTCTGCTTTTATGTACTAAGGTCAACGTTTTGTTTGTTTGTTTGTTTACAATATCTCCAAATATCTCTAACTTCAGGGGGTTCTCACAGGAGCAGACTGCCCTGGTTTGCTGTCCTGTACAAATCTTTTATTTACACTGTGTTGACTGGGCCCATCCTTCAATGAAGCCTTCATGTCTTTGCAAGGGCACTCTATACAAACAGACATTATATTTTAGATAATATCCCTACTTTCTTGCCATCAGCCATTAGCAAAATTAGTGATGGGTATGGGTTTGAACATCTCCATCATGTCTGTGGAACTCAATTGCCATGGTAACAATGTTAAGACTTGAGACCTTTCAGAGGTGTTTGAGTCATGAGAGTTCTACCCTCATGAGTAGGTCAGTGCTGGTATCAAGGGAGTGGGTTAGTTATCTCAGGAATGGAGTCCTGCGTACCAAGGATAAGTTTGGCTACTTTTCTCTTCTTCTGCCATGTTATGGTGTAGCAAGAAGGTCCCTAAGAGATGCCAGCACTATGCCCTTGCATGTGACTCCTAAATGGTGAGCCAATAAACGTCTGTTGCTTGCTGTCCACCCTGTCTATTATCTTACAGCTACAGCAGCAAACAGACAATAACAGAGACAGAGTAGTTCAGTCCTCAAGAGCCATGACGGGGTCTTCCTTCCCAATGCCTTCTATTCAGTCTGCAGCTAGAGTACGGTTCATCTCTATTGTTTGTACTCTCACACACTTGTCCACAGGAGTCAGTGGGAATGGATTCTAAACTCTCTCCCAGAAGGATTTATTCCACAACCCTTAGGATCTTTTTAATTCCTTTGAAAGACTTCATGAAGAGCAGCCCAACACTACTTGGCTTTTTCAAATCGTGAGATATTCTGTCTGGGCCCCGCTGACAGTTATAAACATTGTTATTAATCCAGAAGTTCAGGAGGGGACACCCTGACAACCTGGCTGAGTCATCACTAAACCCTTTCATAGTCTCACTGTTGCGAGAATTTTTAACAGTTCCACGTTGTCTTACTTAGGGTTTCTATTGCTGTGAAGAGACACCGTAACCATGGCAACTCATAAAAAAAATATTTAATTGTGTGGCTTACAGTTTCAGAGGTTTAGTCAGTTGTCATCATGGTTCAACGTGGTGGCATGCAGGCAGACATGGTGCTGGAGAAGTAGCTGAGAGTCCTGTATCTTGTGCAGGCAACAGGAAGTGGTCTCTGACACTGGGCGGTATCTTAAGAGTATTTGAGGGGCTGGAGAGATGGCTCAGCGGTTAAAAGCACTGACTTCTTCCAGAGGTCCTGAGTTCAATTGCCAGCAACCACATGGTGGCTCACAACCACCTGTAATGAGATCTGGTGCCCTTTTCTGGCCTGCAGGGACACGTGCAGACAGAATACTGTATACATAATAAAAAAAAAAAAAAGAAAGAAAGAAAGAAAGAAAAAGAGTATTTGAGACCTCAAAGGCTGCCTCCACAGTGACATACTTCCTCCAAAACCATACCTACTCCACAAGGCCACACCTTCTAATAGTGCCACTCCCTTTGGGGGCCATTCTTTCAAGCCGTTACAAAAGGGATTCCTTTATCTCCTTTCCTCCCTTATAGACAGTAAAATTCCAGAGCGACTCTGGAGGTGCCTAGAATAGGGTTGCAGTCCGATAAGGCAAGCCATGGGGCACTGAGGCTGCACAAGAGAGTAAAGACGTGTCTTCTACTATAAATGAGGTGTCTTGGCATAGTCCTAGAAAACTATAGGTTTGCAATTGAGAAAAGAGTAGGTCTGTACTGGAGGCCATATATACATTGCCCTTAAGCATGGTTTATGGCTATTTTAACAGTCTTCTTTAAACATGTGTAACATACATAAAGGTTACTTTCTCTCTACATAGGCAGCCCTCACTAAATACTAATTGTTTCTTGACATGAGGCTGGTGAGAGACCTGGGTGAAGCTCCCCTTTCAGTTCCTAGTCATCCAATTCCCTGTCTTTCTATCCTTCCTCCTCGTTGTGCTCAGTTCATCAAGGAAGGCCTGGAGGCAAGTGAGCAGGAAGCTTCTCCCCAGGTGCCCATCAAGCCCTCCCTCCCTCCTTTCCTCCCACAGACACACTGGCTGAAGCTCCCTTCTGTGTGCTATCTCGTCGTCACTCTCCTGGTCCCCACAGTGGGGGTTTACCTACCTGGGACTCTGGGACCCCCAATGAAAAGGTCTCTAAACTAGATGTGTTAACTCTCCTCTGGGGGGCACTGGAGTCCCATTAACCCCAGGAGAGTTAGCAAGTCACTGACTTTTGAACTCCTCTGGTTTCACGACAAAGGTGTACATGTTGAAAGGGCAAAGCAAACAGGCGGCTTTCCCAATGGGGTGGAGACGAGGAAGAGGCAGGCCTCTCTGAGAAGCGGGGAGGCCTTCCTAGGAGCCAGCAGAGACCCACAAAGAGAATCTGCTGGGAACTGGAGCCTCAGCCTCATTAGCTTATGCTCTGACCCACCCCCACCCCTGCCCCTCCCCACTTTCAGGGCTGCTCTCTTGGCCTGAATAAAACTCTCCGTGTGGAAATCTGTTAGGAAATGAGATAAATGCCAAGAAGGCAGGAGAGGAGAAAAACAGGGTAAGGGGACAAGGTAAGGGACAGGCTGCAGCCACCCAGCCCTCCCCACGGGTGCTCAAGCATACATTGCCACCCTCCCCTGCTGCTCACCCCAGCAGGCTGGGGTGGGGACACAAGGAAGAGGACGGGCCAAGCAGAGACTGGAAACTGCCCTGGAAGACAGAGGCCAGGCCCAGCGTCTTAAGTGTGTTTTCTTTCTGGGGAGATGCTGTGAGGCATGCAAAAGTGAGCAGTGATGGCTTACAGGAACCCAGAGGCTAGGACTCCACCGACTCTCTTTAGGAGGGCGCAAGGGTGTGCTGGCTGGCTGTGGCGGATCACTGCACAAAATGTTTTTACAGCTCTATTTGGCTTTCCCGTTCTCAAATAGACAAGTCGGAGGACGGATGACTTTAAGATCCACTTGTGTGCCATTAAAGCACCCAGATTGGCTTCCTAAGGGTTTCTGCACTCCCAACTTCTTAAGCAACAATAGGAAAAAGCCCAGAAAAACAAATGCAATTAGAACAGCAGGTTTTCTTTCTTTCCACTAAAATGCCACCCTCCCCAGGCATGCATCTTCCACCAAAATGTGGTATTGACTTTTGAAATACAAACAAAGGCAGCAGAAACAGCAGATGAAAAGGGGGAAGGTGAGCTGTGGTATCCTGGGATGTTTACAGCCTCAGCTCCACTTCGACTGTGGAAGTCAGAACAGAGCCTTTCCACACCCACTGTAGAAACCTGGAAAACCCCGGGTCTGAAAATGTTTCACGAAAGCATTCACAGAATTCATCTCAGCTCACCCTCGTTCACATTAAGATCAGCTAAAGGATGCGCTAGATTAGCAAATATAACTGCAAAAATCGGGGTACTAGAGACAAGAGGAACACTTTCCCCTATGAATTATGATCCTTGAATGTCAGGGTCTGCATTGTCCTGCCATCTAATCGCAGCAAAAAGCCATGCTACACAGGAGCATGCGCTGAAATTCAGCTTCGGGAACTGCCTACATGGGAAGGTGGTCAGCAAACAGCCTCACATCTGGGTCCCACTTCGTGGCTCTGCTGAGCCAAGCCTCAAAGATGCTGAGTAAGGGAGTCTCTCTCTCTCCCCCACCCCACCCCCCATAAACACACACACACAGGACATCTCTCTACTGAGGATCCAGAAGACTGAAACATTCCACAATGTTCAGCAGCCATGTTCTGAGATCTGGAGAAGGCAGCTGTGTTTTCAAACAGATCCCTGGATTCTGGGCTTCAGCTCCCTTTTGAGTATATTGTTTAAAGTGAGTAAAAAAAAAATGAGGACTGGAGGAAAGGAAATCTTTTTTTTTTAAGCTACTGCTAATTCCCAGAGGAGAAGAGCGGCCGACATCTCCAGAAGATTTAATCCGTAGTTGTTGGTGGGCGGAAGAGTCTTTTGCTTGCCTGTGAACATGCTGGGCTGGTACCCAAGGCTCTGGAGGCTGGTGCGGTAGCCATGGCCTCATCTCTATCCCCCAGTGGAAACAAGGGTTTGAGCCACAGCTGGAGGACACGTTGTGGAGATCTGTATAACTAACTCTACACAGGGGCTCTCCAACCCTAGACAATCCTTTAATTCTTGGTTTATGCCCCCATATTTTCCACTGTCGAAGGCTGGAACTGTTGTCCAGAAATCCAAAAAGCTGACATACAGCACATCAAGTAGAGGAAGAAAAGTCTGTCTCATGCCGACAGTGTGAGAAAATGAGGATACGAGGTGAGAAAACAGAAAGTCTGCACCCGTGGGCCCGAGTGCTGGGAATTCCCAACAGCGTCTCCACTCTCGAGATGTCCGTGCTGTTGGACTGTTAACCACGGTCACACAGATGGGGCTGGGGTCTGAGCCAGCGTGAGAGCTACCCAGCTTCTCTTCCAGTCTTCTTTTCCAAAAGTTTCTGCTTCCTTTCCAACTCTCTCTCTCTTTCTCTCTCTCTCTTTTTTAATGCATTGTTGTTTTGCCTGCATGTACGACCATACGAGGATATCAGATCCCTAAGAACTGGAGTTACAGACAGTTGTGAGCTACCATGTGGGTGCTGGGAATTGAACCTGGGTTCCTTGGAAGAGCAGCCAGAGAGCTCTTAACTGCTCAGGAATGCAGGTTCATATTAAGCTGTGCTAAGAAGATAGGAGGAATAATTATGCCTTCATTGCAACAAAGTGCTTTCCTTCACAGAACCTCTGCCCTCTGCCGAGTCCCTTACGGATGCTCAAAGCACAGCCCTTCCTTCTGTTTCTGCCTCTTTTCTGAGCGTGCTTTCTTTAACATGTTGGATATCACTCTTCCTCTGCAGCTCCTCTCCCCACCACGTGGCGGCTTGTCCACCATGTGGCTGGACTCCGTGCTAGCTTAACTCAAATGGCATGACTTTTTTCTCTTCCTCGCCTCTGTCTCCCTTCTCCAGGAAGCTGCAGAGATTTATAGCTTGCCTGCTCTGGAGTTCTTCTGTAAAACTCTAATAAAATTGTCCTTGAACTTAAAAAAAAAAAGTGGCTGAGTACAGAGCCTTCTGCTCACACATGTCTCAAGGGAGATTGCTGGGGGCAAGCATGATGTGGGCAGCCATGATGCTTTGCTGCAGCACAGGCCCAACCAGTCAATCACGGATTGAAGGCACTAAAACTGTGAGCCCAAAAACGAACCTTTTCTCTTTATAATTGGATTGTCTGAGGTGTTGGTTACAGTATTGGAAAGCTGCTCAATACACTTTCCCACAGAGATAGGAATAAGGCACCAAGAGCCGGTTGGTGGCAGGATAGATGCTGACACCCAAGTCTTCTGAGTTGAACATGGGTGTCAGAGGGGAGCATCTTGTGATAAGAATGAGTTTCTTGCTTATTTACAAGAGGAGCCAGATTGTTTCCTAAACGCCCTACTCAAATGCTGTTCTCATCTGTCAATGGAAAGCACCTTGCAGTGAGAGGAAGCTACATCTTTAAGTTGATGAGGACCAATTGTGTTGCCTTGATCTCCTTAGAGGCTCTCTTTCCCCCAGTCATTATAGAATTAGAATTTTTTTTTAATTTTTTTTTAGAAAGTTCAGAGAAATGAGTGATGGGCCCACGGGATGAATGGATTCCATAGAATGACTTGCGATGTGTCCGGGTTTCTTCTTGCCTTGTAGTTAAATCACTCGGCTTCCTGCAGATGCTCTTGATGGACCCTCAGCCTTGCTGGCATTGCTGTTTGCCTCTCCTCTTGTCTCCTCGCCCGCCCGGCACTGTTCTGCATTCCTGCATCTGTTTGTGGGTGGCTTGGCTCGACACTGAGAATGTCAGGGCCATCACCCTGGAAGCCTTCCTCTAGCCGTGAGTCTGGCTTGGGATCACATTATTAAAAAGATCCTTTCTGTGTTCCATTGTCCTGAGGAAGTTCAGACCTCACTTCCTAGATCTGTGACCTCAGGGCTCTTTTTTCTGCACATGGAAAGGGCCCATTTTATGTTCCTGCTTATTTCCAGTTCTTCAGTCTATGCGTGGGCAGGCTCCGCGCCCATGAGTGTGCTTGTTGACTGGCAAAGCATAGGTAGTCATTGAGTTAGTTCACATTGTATTGAGAGACTATGGCTTGTCTTTGCACATCTTCATGGCCTTTCCTGCTTGCTAACTCAGTCAGGGACAAGGAAACAGGCTCAATCCATCTTGTCATTGGTGTATGTTAAAAAGAGTTGGAAAGGGGGCTGGAGAGATGGCTCAGCGGTTAAGAGCTCTCTGGCTGCTCTTCCAAGGAACCCAGGTTCAATTCCC